CCATGGTCGTGGTCATTATCCAAATGTCATCATGATCATCGTCATCGTCATCCTTCTCAAACCCTGGTGTTGACGACAAGGTTCGCAGTATATTCATCATGGTCTTGGCCAATACCATATATGTTTATCTTCATCAACTTCGGCAGCTATCTGAGTTTCATGTTAAATCTACATGTAACTTGCAGCTTTCTATTATACTCACAAAGACCCATTAATGCAATTTTGCTTTGTTTCGTCTTTGTATCAGATGAAACCTAATGAATTAAAAATATAAAAAATAAATTCCATAAATCTGCTTGCTGCAACAAATATCATAAAATATCCGCGACCAGGGACCTTTCTAATCCATTGCATGATTTATTATTGTATTCATAAATTGATTTTTACAGAGAGGTCGAGTAAACCAGGTGATATGATACCGAAGAGTATCTAGTGTTCGCATGTGTCACTATTAATGGAAGAAAGCAATTGAACGATGACGTACAGAAACAATTAAATATTTAATTGACAGACATAAAGACTTTTATTGGTTTGATCTCACTCTTTCTCTCTCTCTCTATATATAAAAATATATATAACCGCAAGTTTCATGTGTATCAAATAATGGCAAATCGTCTGTACAGACACATAGGGGCAAACATAATTATATATGTTTATAGTTAGGGTGAATATAGGAAGGAAAGGGGAATACAAGGAAATATAATTAGTAATTTTAGATTTTTTTTTTAAAAAATGCACACCTGTTCCAAGTTTTGACTTATTTTTTCCTTAAATACACATTTATATATTGAGAACTAGATTTATTTTGTATGAGATATTTATAATAAATTAATCAGTGCAGTGTTCATGTTTATCGGCATCCTACGGTGGAAGAGGGAAACCCTTACAATCACAATGTAAATTTACCCGAATCTTCTTGGTACCTAGTCACACGCTTTAATCCAGTAAAGAAGCACATTAATTGAGCGATTTTTGCACAGGCATTAATTGTGTCTTACGACAATCATTGATCAATAATCACTGATATTATTATTTTCTATGGATATACAGCAAAATTTGTAACCGTATAGATTTTGTTTCCTGTTTTATATCTGCTCAACTCATAAAAATAGTAAAAAGACGGAACCGTATCTGTACATATCTGTACACAGTCCGCGGCGTTTAATGCTATACTTCAAAACAAACGCATCCCGCAATTATGCAGAGTAATAAGGTACATTGTAGGTAAAATATTTAAAGATTCATAAGTTTGATACATCTCCAGAGGCGTGAAAGATCTTATTCTATAAGACTGGCATTTGCACCTGTTGATATACACACCTCTCTCTCTCCATTGATTACTTGAAGAAAAAATCAAAATCTTCAGCTTTATAAGCCTTTATTTTCAGTGTATGAAATTCGATAATAACTTGATATTTTCTTCTAAACTATTCTAAAAGCAAAATAAGAATAAGCGAGGTCAAGACCGTTCGGAAGACAAGGTCAGAAGGTTATGAAACAATTTGAATAGCTAACATCATCAAAAGAAGGCAAGCATGACAAACATTATATGCCCAGCCATATTCATAAGAGAATATAAACAAAATACAAAGTATTATACTTTACATTGTACCAACAATATAAAAATATATATCTATATTTCTGATCATGAATGACAAACATACATGTACATATCTTAAAAAGAGCTAGGTTCACTTCATGCATAAAATGGCCCTGTTCTTGACTATCACCCTCTGTCCCATTTCATATATCAAAATAAAGTAGAGACTTAGTGCTCTCATTTCCTATAGCAAAATTTCTTTTTGAGGATCCAGGTATTGGAAAGTAGACTTTGTTAAAATGCAATGTTCTCCAGTTTTGCAGAAAACACGCGTATTTGACTAACTTTAGCAAAGAACTAAAATATGACCAGAGCCGTCGATCCAAAAATTAAACCATGTTTTATGATCTTCAGAAACAGATCTTTCATTATGTTATTGCATATTTTGGATCAGAGGTTGTGCTCTATATGAAATATTGAATAAAGTGCCCCGCCACAGCATGATACGGCCGTCAAATATTGTTCAATTGTCATAAACAGTTTAGAGTGCAACAAAATCATGTCAACTTTGATACAAGGATTTCAATAATTTTTCCATTCCTTATAATATTTGTTTATACATCTCCTGTGGTGTAGGCATTAATTATAACAAATATTATATTATAGATCCCCAACTGGCTGTGTTAGAGCTTGACAAATGCCCATCTGCAGCCCCCCCCCCCCCCCCCCCAGCTTTCAGATTTGCGAAACATGATGCTCTGAATTAGTTGATATTTTCAAAAAAATTAAATAAAATTATCATATTAAACAATATCAATTTAGTCTTAACAACTTAATCTATATCAAATTAATATTAAAAATAAAAGGCTGGCCATCAAATGACATATGCTATAAACTGACAAGCAGTTCTTCTGTCTAATTCCCAAAGGATACAGATAAGAGCTGGTTGATCAGAGATCCTCCAACAGAAATGATTGAGACAGCTAGCCTTCCTACACTGAACTCATTAACTAATCTTTAACTGGATGCATGTCCACTCATTATTCCCAACGGATGAATGGATCTGTACATACTATCTGCTTTGTAGTGCAATAAAAATGCATATTTATGTCATTCTGATATTAAATTTGAAAACAAAGATTTATAAAAAGAAAAAAAAAACTTGTGTAATCTTGATGCAACATTTTTAATAAGGTCCCTGTATTACTCTTAGATTTGACCATAATTAAAACATTTTTTAAATACTTGATTTTTGTTAGATTTAATGTCAGACTAGTTTTAAACTGCAATTCATACAGACAACAAGCATGCTGATTCCAATACCCCCCCCCCCCCCCCCCGAGTATAATTAGTTTTAATTATATTATACAATATCAAATTAGTTTATTATACAATATCAAATTAATTTATTATACAATATCAAATAAGTTTTAATTACTTTTCACCAAATTCATTTTAAAAGTTAGGCTAGCCAACTATTTAATCCAACACGGCTGATTCTTTTTGCCCAGTTCCCAAGAGATACAGATAACATCTGCTTGATCAGAGATGCTTTACCAGTTAGCTCCTCACACTAAACTCATTAATTTCTCTCTAATTTGACGTGCAATTTTCTGTTATCAAATTCTTCTTGACCAGTGCTTGATAATTACACCCATGGGAGAGGTGGAATTTCTCTTGTAACATTACATTTGTTATAGTAGATTGTAAAGTATATAATGAAAAAATAAGTATTTTCTTGATTTAACATTTTTTTAATAAGGATACTGCAACACTCTTGCATTTTTTGGGATTGTGTAATCTAATAGTAAAAAGACAGGTTTTTTTTAAATTTCACTTAAATTAAAGGTCACAGTGACCTTGAAATAGATCGCGACACACCATCTACCTAAGATGCATAAATTGACCAAGTTTGATGATTCTAAGTCCAATAGTTTTCTAGTTATGAGCCGGACAGGATTTTTCCATATTTGGCCATAGCATCTTCGTAAAAGTTCAGGGCGACCTACTTTTAGCCCACAAGAAGTGTCAGCTGACAAAGTTTGATAATCCTAGGCCTAATAGTATTAAAGTTATGAGCCAGACACGAGAAAAGCTAACAGACAGACAGATGGACGGACATAAACGCCATAACATAATACGTCCCGTCTAAAGACGGGCATATAAAAAATACTTCAACTTTTGGACATATTTAAAAGAATTTACAGGATATGGTAAAAATGACGCATTTCATGACATCATAATGAATTGACTAGAGAGAAAATTACGTCATGTTCAGTAGAAACATGGTCACCAAGGGTCCAAGTGATAAATACTGCACTGTCAGTCAAACTGAGCAGTTTTGATTTTTCAGAAATTTACAGGGCCAAAAAAGACCCTAAGTGGCCCTTGCTCTTTGTTGATGATATCAATACTTAAAAGATTGTGAAAAATTAGAACAGTCAAAAATGGATAAATACCACATGCTAGTTTTTCCAGAAAAGGTACTTAAACATTGATTTATCTTGTGGATCTAGAGGTGTTTGAAAATTTATTAACAAATCAAACTTTGATTGCTCATCATATTTTTGAATGAATGATAAACTAGCCACACTCTATAGACTAATAAAACATCAAAATACTAATCATAATATTGCGTCTGATTAAATTGTAAAAATTAATTGCAACCATCTGTCATCTTTGTGAGACTTGACTCTATTGAGATATTAATTAAAACAAATATTATATTAGACAATGTCAAATTAGTCATGTTAGTCTTTAAAACTTTATACCAAAATAATTTGATTTTGGTTGTATCCATTTCACTGGATGAAATAAATACTTTATTTATAATTGTGTTGCCTATCTCACGACTTGCTTCAAAAACCACCTGCCATTTCTTTTAAATTTTATATAATTTGAAGCCATTTTTAGGTCAATGTATTTTTTACATTTAATGAATGAAAGAAAGATTTTATACAGGGCTAGCTAATCACTATCATCATGCAGACTGTCACCTCAACTAAATTATCAATAAAAATGGCAAAGCCTCATTCCAAATAAATGTTCCGATAGTGAACATCCCTGTATTCAACATTCAAAAAGAGTATGGTCCAGGTAATGTTACAATCATTTTGGACTTGTTAAAAAAAAACTTAAAACTTAAAAACTGTCCCTGCTTCAAAAACTCAACAAGTGCTCATGCCTTTATTGCATTAAAAATTTCTAATAATAATCTATCTAATAAGATAATCGAACATATTTTTTAGACATATAATTCAAAATATTGTGGGAAATGCCCATATTTATAGTGTTTGTTTTATAAATCCAGACTCAGAACTCCTTTTTCACCCCCTGAATTTATCTCTCTTTAGATAAATGTTCACACAATAACATACATATACACATGTATATATACATATAATTATGTAGTCTTCATACAACTATGACCTCCCCCCCCTCCCCCCCCCCAAAAAAAAAAATCTCTCAAGTATACATCAAAAAAGCTCAAACTTGACAGAATCTTGAGCAATTCCTAACCAGAGGAGAAACTCTGCCAGTTTTAATCTGTCCTCTGCCTTCAACATGTCAAATGGTTCCGTGTACATAATTATCCCTGGATCCTCTTCTGTTCTCCTTTCTCCATTATATATGCTATCTGAATGCTTCTTTGATATTTTCAGGAAAGCAAAAATTAACTACAAAAGAATGAAGAATGAGAAAAATTATTGTTTGTACAAGTAAAAATTTACTTTTATCTTACGTTTGCACGAATAAAAAAGCTTACTTTTGTTTCCATACAGAGGACTCCAAGAGAATTGGGAAAAAATACAGAGTTCAGTGACTGTCCAAAAAGCTCTGCTCCAAATTGTCCTAAAATGCTTTTTCCAACTAGATCTCTTATATCTATCACATTCTCTGTTACTGGAGCTTTTTTTACCTACAATTTAAGGATAAAAAAAAAAATAAATACTTACACACATTTGGCTATAACTATGCAGGGTGCAAATAAGCAGTTATTTAGGATGAGTGAAAATTGGCTGAGGACAAGTTAATGTTATGATCTGCTTGTTCTTGGTAACGAGTTGGATTTTTCCATGATACTTTAAAACAAAGGGCTCCTGGGCCATAAATTACCTCTACCATAAACAGAAGTTCTTCAGATGACATTCCAGAATCAAAATGATAGACCAGATCAGGAGAGTTCCTCACTTTCTTACAGTGAAAACGAAAAATTCTCTTGGGGATGTGACTGAAGGAAAAAAAAAATTAAGTTTCTAAAGCAGAACAAAGTCATTATTATATTAATTTTCAAGGTAGATCTGTAATACATGTAGTATTAATTAGATATTTTTGGGACAGACCTCATTCTGTTTTTTTGGGAATTTTGTCAAAAATTTTACAATGGTGGGAAGGCTAGTATACAGTTAAAAAAAACCTACCTACCTACCCACTCTAAAAATTATAGGTCTGCAACTGCAAACTAAGAATTTTTTAAGCTTGGACTTAATTCTTAACTAGAAGTCTTTGTTGAGACTGTAGCTCTACTGGTTTGTACTTACAACAAAGGTAGAGAAAAGTAGCAACTGGACTTGAAACTTGCAAAAGCAATAAATAGAATAGGCCTAGTGATCCTTGTTTATAAAGTCTCTTTTTGTGGCAAGATTAATTGCAATTAGACTAAAACTGTAGGAGGAGTATCCTTTTAAAAGAATTTTAGAGAAATTTCTATTTTAGACACCACGGCAACTAGTGTTGTACCAATAATCAGAGAACATCGATTGTCGACAAAAAAATGCTACTGATCCCGATGATCGATTATTATTTTTTATAATCGATCATTGGAAACGTACTTCCTATAAAATGCATTCCGGAAATATCCTTTCCTGCTTTAAAATTTATTTCTTTGTAATGAAAGAAAATACCATCCGCAACTGTTATTTTTATGCTAACAGTGCCTGGTTCATGGTTCATAGGGTCATGCAGAACACTTTTCACCATACTTAAGTGTTACAACGCCAACTAGCACAAAGCAGAGGTGACTAAAAACCAAAATGGGCATATACAAAAAGTGTAAAGGAAGCTAAACAACAAAGAAAACAATACATTATATATTTTATTTATTCATGTTAAAGAAGTAGTATGATTGATTGATTGATTGTACGTTGTTTTACGTCCCATTCGATAGAGACGTCACCATATACCTGTGAAGGGCTTCAAATTCTGACCTTTACTTGGCACTCAGGGCCATTGAGCAGTGAGGGATCTTTATCGTGCCTGCTGTGACATGGGGCCTCGATTTTTAAGGTCTCATCCGAAGGACCCGCAACTTTCACTTCAAAGTACCAAGCGCATGGCGAAGGAACAGTTGCTACCCATATTTTATTGACAGGTCAGTTGCAGCCAAGATTTGAACTCACAACCACCCGATCATTGAGTGAGCGCTCTACTGTGCTATGGTGAACAGTAAGAAATAGCATGAAATATTTTTTATAGTCTGCTTTTTATATAAAAAAAAACTATGATATCCGATTATGATCAGTAAAATTGCATTGGAAGCAGTAAACGATTCCAACTGATGACAACTCCTTTCATTGAAATCAAAAACCAATACATAGCATTATGTGTCTTAGTGTAGTCTACTTGTGTGCCAAGTTATATTGAAATCAGACCAAAAATGTAGGAAGAGTAGCGTTTTGAAAGTATATCGCAGAAATTTCTATTTTTAGTAACCAAGGCAACACCGTTCATCAAAATCAAAAACAGATACAAAGAATTATGTGACTGTCTTAATGTTATCTACTTGTGTGGCAAGTTATATTGAAATGGGACCAAAACTGTAGGAGGAGTAGCGTTTTGAAAGTATTTCACAGAAATTTCTATTTTTAGTAACCATGGCAACACCATTCATCAAAATGAAAAATTATGCATATTAGTGTAGTCTACTTGTGTGCCAAGTTATATTGAAATCAGACCAAAACTGTAGGAAGAGTAGCATTTTGAAAAACTGTTTACAGACAGACAAACACAGGTAGATGGATGGACGACGGACACCTTACTATCACATAAGCACTTATGGTCTCTGACCAGTATAGCTGAAAACTAGAATGCCTATTAATTTTGTCATAAACAAAAATGATTTGAGTTTACCACTGAGTTAAGATGATGCAAGGCTGAGAAAGTTGAAAATACAAGTACATGTAGGCCTACTTCTCTTGATAGACTCTACAGATTTGATATTTCCTGAGCAGATAGGAAGATAGATCTCTATCAAAATATCATGATATATTTCTGGGAAAAATAATTGCATTTCATGAACATTTCAGTGGCTAATTGCACAACTTCTGCCAATTTTGCCAACAGTGAGAATAATTTTCCTCAAATTTTTGGATATTACTGTACAATATCTTTGTCTTACATTTTTTGTGCAATGCTGTAGATTTTTGTGCAAGAGTTCTAAAGTGAGGTGGGTTAAGGATGAAATAACTGAAATAAGTTATGATTTGTTGAATTTCAAGTTGTGAAACTGTAAAGGTAGATTCCTTTTATGGCTACGACTCTTTTCTGTTTACTAAATACCCCTGGTACAGAATGAACAAGAGGCCCATGGGCCACATTGCTCACCTGAGCACATTGGCTAGGAAAAAAAAACAAAAATCAATTCAGTATTTAAAAGTTTACTGGGGGGGGGGGGGGGGGAATTATAAACTACCTGATGATGCTTCCATATCAATATAAGAATTGGCTTTGCTGTTCTTGAGCAGAATATTTTTCCTATATATTTGTTTGTAAAAATTTGATCCCCCATTGTGGCACCATCCTACCCCGGGGACTCTCATTTGAAAAAAAATGATTTTACACTACCTGAGGATGCTTCCATATCAATATGACTAATCATGGCTTTTCTGTCTTGAGAAAATTTTATTTTTATATTTCTTTGTAAAACTTTGATCCCACATTGTTTTTTTTTTAATCTACACTACCTGAGGATGCTTCCATATAAATATGACCAATCATGGCTTTGCTCTTCTTGAGAAAAAAGAGTTTTAAAGAATTTTCCTATGTATTCCTATGTTAAATTATGATCATCCATTGTGGCCCCACCCTCCCCCAGGGGGTCATTATTTGAACAAACCTGAATCTACACTACCTGAGGATTCTTTAATACAAATATGACCAATCATGGCTTTGCTGTTCTTAAGTAGAAGATTTTTAAAGATATTTTCCTAGTATTCCTATGTAAAACTTTGATCACCCATTGTGGCCCCACCCTATCCCCGAGGGTCATGATTTGAACAAATTTGAATCTACACTACCTGAGGATGCTTCCATATACATTGTGAATATGACCAATCATGGCTTTGCTGTTCTTCAGAAGTGTTTTAAAGAATTTTCGTATGTATTCCTACGTAAAACTTTAATCACCCATTGTGGCCCCATCCGACCGCCAGGGGTCATGATTTGAACAAATTAGAATCTACACTAACTGAGGATGTTTCCACATAAGTTTCATCTTTCCCGGCCAAGTGGTTTTTGAGAAGAAGATTTTAAAAAGATGACATTATTTTTTCACTAATTCCAAATTATCTCCCCTTAAAAGAGGGTGTGGCCCTTCATTTGAACAAACTTGAATCCCCTTCACCTAAGAATACTTTATGGCAAGTTTGGTCGAAATTGGCTCGGTGGTTCTTGAGAAGAAGTCGAAAATGTGAAAAGTTTACAGACAAAAAGCTAGACAGACAGAAGGACAACAGACAAAATGTGATCAGAAAAGCTCACTTGAGCCTTTGGCTCAGGTGAGCTAATAAAGCACATATGGATTATCAATTATCTTCCCTCAAAAGAGGACTATTAGTTTCTAGTGTTTTACTAACCCTTTTAGTAAAAAGAATATCCTTCCAAATAATTCACAATAGTTTTTGAAACTGTTTTCAGTGTTTTGCTTCTTTTCACCTGAAGAATATTCCATTTCACCTCCAAATAAAACCCTTTTGGTCAAACTACTAGTCTCCTTTACAAAATCAATTATAGCTGAATTCACCATTATGACAGCCTTTTGTACAAATTTCTCCAAAGCTGGTCCAAATGCTCTAAAAAATTGGAAAGAAAAGAAATATTTCATTTTCTCAATAAACCATCAAGGTTTCATCAGACACACCTATTCTTGATAAGAAAGTTTCTTAAATCAGAAGTCTCTGATGAGATTGAAGCTTTGTACTTGTAATAAAGGACTTGGACCTGAAACTATGCTACAGCAATAAATAGAACAATGATCCTTGGTTTAGTCTCTATTCATGGCAAAATTATCGAAATCAGACAAAAACTGTAAGAGGATGAGTAGGGTTTTGATAGAATTATTTCACAGAAATTTCTATTTCTTAAATAACCATGGAAACACTGTTACATGTAAAAGAAACATAGGCGCTTGGGTCAAGGATAATGCATATTTTCTATATAATGTATTATCGAGGAAATTCGAACTATATTCGTAACATTTTTTTAAGAGCACAGTGGTAATTTTTAGTTTTTTGTAAATCTTTCTGCTTGATATACACTAGACTGTCACAGAAATTTGATATTGTGCACATTTTAAGAATGACATATCCCAACCGTATACTAAAAAGAAACAAGGCTTGCAACTGCATTCGCCTTTCTTTTTAGTATACGGTTGGGATATGTCATTCTTAAAACGTGCATAATATCAAATTTCTGTGACAGTCTAGTGTATATCAAGCAGAAAGATTTACAAAAAACTAAAAATTACCACTGTGCGCTTAAAAAAAATGTTACGAATATAGTTCGAATTTCCTCGACAATACATTATATAGAAAATATACATTATCCTTGACCCAAGCGCCTATGAAAAGAAACTACATGTTGTGTTTTGTTGCATTTTTTATTGATAATTTTATTTATTGATAAAAAGAATTGTGGCTAGCCCTCTTTAACCTGAAATTTAGCAAATTAGGATTAAAACTTTAAAAGTAAAGTTTACATGTATAACTGTTATGATATTAGGAAAGTAAACAAAAAGCCCATGGGTCACAATGCTCTGCCTCACATGAGTTAATATGGCCATGCTGTTCTTCATCAGCAGTTTTTTTTTTTCTATCACACATTCCTGTGCAAAAAATTGATTTCTGTTGTGATCCCACCCTACCCCCAAGACTCATAATTTGAACAAACTTGAATCTATGTTATCTGAGGATGCATTTGTGTGACTACTAAGTCATTACTTTGCTGTTCTTGGGAAGATGATCTTTATAAAGATGTCATCCTACCTCTTGGGTCATGACTTGAAGAATTTGTATCTATACACTACCTGAACATCCTTCCATATCAATACAACTAATCAAGGCTCTGCTTATTTTACAGAAGATTTTTTCCTGTCTATTACTGATGTTAAACTTTAATCCCCCATTGTGGCCACACCCTACCCTCTTGGGTCATGATTTGAACAAACTTGAATCTACAATACCTGGGGATGCTTAAATCATACATGTAGCTCTGCTCCTCTTGAGAAAAAGATCCCCCATTGTGGCCCCAACCTACCCTGAGGGGTCATGATTTGAACACACTTGAATCTACACTTCCTGAAGATGGGTATTTATCAATATGACAAATCATGGCTCTTCTGTTCTTGAGAAGAATTCTGAAGTTTCCCAATATATTCCTTTGTAAAACTTTGATCCACCATTGTGACTGCACTCTATCCTCTGGAGTCATGATTTGTATAAACTTGAATCTACACAAATGTAATGAAGTAATGAATGTCTCACATGAGTATCAACCTTTTTGGCCTAGTGGTTCTTGAAGAGAAGTTTTTTTTAAAAGATGCCACCACATTTTCACTAAATCTTCATTGTCTCCCCTCAAAAAAGGGTGTGGCCTTCCTTTGAATATTAAACTCCCCTTCACCTAAGGATGCTTTGTGGCAAATTTGGTTGAATTTGGCCAAAAGGTTCAGGAGAAGAAGTTGAAAATATGAAAAGTTTACAGACAGATACACATACAAATGACAGACAGAATGTGATCAGTAAAGCTCACCTGAGCTTTCAGCTCAGGTGAACTAAATACTAGAGGCAAGTTCAGCAAAGAGCTTCTTTCAACTGAACAGTGAGGGAATTTGCTTGTGCCAGCACATAATGCAAAACAGGAAATGGGTTTATAACTAAAGTCTCACCCACGGCCTGGGTGGGCCAACAACAGGTGATCAAAATTATACATAAAAATATCTAGAAAAATATCTATAAAAATCTTTTCTCAAGAACAAGAAAGCCATGATTATTTGTCAAATTAAAACAGAAGCATCCTCAGGTTGTGTAGATTTAAGTTTGTTCAGATCATGACTCCAGGGGGAAGGGAGGAGGTGGCACTACAGATCAAATTTTACAATTAGAAATACATATAGGGAAAAATCTTATAAATTTTTTTAAAGCCATGATTAGTCAAAGGAATCTGGAAGTATCCTTAGTTAGCATAGATTCAAGTTTATTCTAATCAAGACTCCATGGGTAGGAGGCTAGGTTGGGATTATTTATATATAGTCAATTCTCATTATATCGCGGGTTCCATTATATCACGGTATATTCCAAAAATTAGGATATATAACGTTAGCTCATATCCTTTTTGTTGATGGACTATCTGTCTATCGTCTGAATGTTGACTTCTGCGATGATTAAACAGCATGGAACACCCGTTGGAATTTTTTTTATTGAAATAAAACGTAATTTTACAGATTTCAATTCCCGTTTTTATTTTATTTAGACCATTGAATTTATATCCTAGTAAAAGCAATAATAAAGTTCATATTTTGAAAGTCTTTAGTTTGTATTATTGTTTAGTCTTCATGTAGATTTACATTGTAAATTTTAAAATAAAAATTGTTGTTCGTGACAGCGCCAAGCTTCCATGTTTTTCAGTACCATGATACAATGAGACTCTCCACTTTAGGAGGTAAATAAGACATCCTGTTTTAAAAATAGACCACATATTAAACGAAGCAAGCTTGGGAAATAATTAGCCACGAAAAAGTTAGGCCATTGTATGGTTTATGAATAGCATTTGATGAAAAGTTAAAATAAGAATTTGGAATAACTTTTTTTTTATGCAAAAAATAAGTACTGCGATATAATGAGACACCAGTATACTTAAACTTTATTTAGAACTGTTTTCTGTAGCAAAATTGCTCAAGTGAGGAATGTGGTCCATGGGTCTCTTGTTTCAATTACCCCATCTTGGATTTATGATATAAAATTTCATTGCAAAATCTGAAAGAGAACTAATTAAAGTTTTCATCTGGAAACCATTTCATGTTAAACAGTTGTATTTAAGCATTTCAAATTGTGAAATATTGTCCTTTAGACCTCATTCATTTGAGGACTTTTTTGAGTCATGCAAAGCTAAAATATAAAATTTCTTTGCAAAATCTAAAAAAAATAAATACATTTACTATCTGGCATTCTAGCAGCTAATCAATATGTCACTCTTTTATGTCATGGAGTAATAAAGTTTAAATGACAAAATTTTAAAATTGCATCAAAAGGAAACTAAGCAAAGACAGAATAACAAATAAAAATAGATGGTTCAACATTTAAGGGGACAGTACAGTGCATCTAATAAAAAAAAAACAACAACTTAATAAAACATTTCCTGATAGGATCTGAATTTTTTTAACTACATGTATTCATAAAAGTATAAACTTTTAGAAAATTACAAGTTTCATAATCAAATAATTTCAATTATTCCACTAAAATTAATGATTATTTATGGCCCAGAGATTGTTGAGGAGAAGTCAAAAATGTGAAAAGTTTACAGATGGCAGACAGACAGACAAATGGACAAACAGTTACCTTACTTTTTATCAGAGAGTATTGGCATTTCCCTCATGTTTGCTCTTTCTGCTATTTCTTTCATTTCTTGCTTTACTTTTTTGGCAGTCTTTTCTTTATGATCCAGTTTGCGAATATTTTTAATTTCAGTCATGTCATAGGAAAATGTCAACATTTCTTCAAGTTCTTTCTTCAAAATATCACTTACTTTGCTGATATCTGGACAAAAACCCTTCTCTTTCATAAAAGCATCTTTTACTTCTTTGACAAATTTGTCTAATGTATGTGGTTTCTTTTCATAAAAGATATTTATATACATCAGATCTTTATAACCCCAACGACTTGCTGGATAGTTTCTTTTATCTTCACTTGAAGGTGAACTCTTTAAGACATTTGAATCTACTTCTGTATCATCTCCAGGTTCAGAACATGAAGTATATGTTGATATAGAAGATGGTGAGTGTTTCTCTCTTGGGGGCAAGTCATCTGTCTTACTGGAGCTTGGTGTTTCAGTTTCCAAATTCTTTAAGAAACAGAAAAATGCAAATTTAAATAAAAAATGTAGATATCAATAAAAGAGGACCATATGCCACAGCCTTCAACCATTGTAACTTTGATTTATAAATATTTACTTTTCCAACTGTTTTGTCTATGATAACTCTTTGAAAGTTAGGTGTGTTTATGTCTTGTTTAAGTAGTAATAATTAGTAGTCACAGTAGTATTAATGTCACTTGATTTGTGGCTATCTTTGAAATGCAGTGATTTCTTTTAATATTTTTATCTTGGTTATCTTTAATTGATTTTATAACAGTCTTGTCAAGAAGTTTTCTATTAAAACAATAATTCAGTGTGTCTATCAATAACCATTGAATAAACATTTTGGGGGGAAAAATGGTAAGATATCAGATTTTAATTGTAAGACTAACATTTTACAATGTAAATAAAAAAAAATCTCTCAGTGACCTTAAAAAATTGTTTCAGATTCAATAATACAAAGAGATTAAAGAACAAAATGCAATTGAAATGTAATTGAATAGTAATGGTCATCACTGATTTTTTTTTAAAGTAATGTGTTACATTACAATTACTTGTAATTGAAAGATGGATCCATTACACATTACATCCCATTACCTTGAAAAAATGTAATGAATACAATGCATTACCATTACACATAAACATTACCCCAGATCTGCTGGACTTGACACTAATTTTAGTTAGTGTTTTGGGAGTGTACACGTGATATGATGGTTATGATTTTAAACGTTTATTAATTAGCTGCAAATTTTCCATCACCAGGAGCCTATTTGCACAAGTATTATACAATATATTTAATAAAAAAGGAGAAGAGGTTATCACCCAGATTCTTATCATGTTTAGTTGACACGATAGATAATTCTGAGACAATTCTATTGCAATTATATGTATTATTTTTTTAAGAATATGCCAGTATTTCATAATATTGGCCTATTTTCCTGAGTCTCGAAAAATGATGGACGGAAAGGGGTAACACTACACTGTACATGCCTAGCTGCAATAATGTAGCCCTCTCCAATTTTTTTTTTTTTTTTTTTTTTGGGAGAGGGCTACAACTCCTTAGGATCTCCGTAATGGTGCAAGTGCGGGAGTGATTCACTACCGCACAGATTTCGGCTCAAATTATCAGTAAGTGGGTATTTTATTAACATATCTTACCTGAACTCATAAAATGTAGTTATGCAGGACATGAATTGATCCAAAAATATACAGAACAATCCATATATCGGTTATTTTTCGTGTATGTCAACATCACAACTTGAATTTATCCGCCATGTTTACTGACCTTGATCGATTTTATTTTGGGACAACCAATGAGAATTTGGGATCTAGGGGTGCGGATCTGTATGGATTTCCCTTATTATAAGCATAAATATCACTGTTTATGATAAAAATATCACGTGGAATGCTTTTATTTATTGATGTTTAGTTATATCATACAACACAAACATTTATCAACACCGACATTTACATTATCAAGTGATTCTAAATTTCAAGCGCAAGTCTCAGTACATCACGCGAGAACTGTCATGGCTGCTGAGGTGAACAACTGGAAAACACGTATATTTATTTTACTTGGTTTTCGCGTATAAAGGGCTATGATGTTGATAGTGAATAAAAATTCCGTCTTATTGGAAGTAAGTTGAATGCAAAAACAATTTATTTTGCCTGCAGTCGCCCGTATCTAAAAAATATATTTGCACCATTACGGAGATGCAGTGGAATTGTAGCCCTCTCCTGAAAATATCAGATTAAAAAAAATCGGAGAGGGCTACATTATTGCAGCTATGTACATGCCCTGACCATTTCATGGCAGAGGCGTTATAATCATCAGGTTTGAAGAATGAGCTACATTTTCTTATACACTGTATTTTTTGGGTTGAAATGTTGATGGGCAAAAATGTTTTTTTTATCTTTGGTTGATACATCTTAACCTTGTGTTAACGTGTCAAAATTCTTTTGCCAAGACATCTTGGTCACACCAAAGTTGTCATTGGGCTTACATGTCTTAGAGCCCAGGTAGTTGACATTTTTCCCTTTAAAGAATATGATTTGCTACTTCTGTTAACTCCATCTAAAGTGTTTAACTACATTGCAAAGGTGGACTAAAAATGTTTACCAAGCTTGGATTTTCATCCTCTGTAACATCTCTTGCCTTCCTTTTCCGTGATTTCTTTGGCAATGGCTCATGTATATTAGAGACCATACCTTCTTTTATCTTCAAAATAAGCAAAAGACATAACAATTAGAATCAATTTCACTCATAAACCAAAGACAAATGCATTATAACTTTAATTAAATACATATTAAACACCTTGCAAAAATTAACCAAAGGTCCAATGCATTAACAGTCACCCTAGTGTAATACAACCCTGTAAATAGGTAAAGGATCAATAATTTTATAATAACACAAAATAAACTAAACTTAAACAGAAATATATGGAGATAACGAACACTATTCAAGCTCAAAAGTCCATTAAGTAATACAAATTTTGGAGCAGAGCAAACACGGACCTCTAAACACATGCTAAAACATCAGAGGTGGGATCAGGTGCCATGGAGGAGTAGGGAAAGGGAAAGGAAAATAGGATGATCATTGATGAACAAAACAATTAGTTTGGTATATGTGGTAACAACTCAGAGCTTGCCTGTATATGTCAGTGCTATGTATATACATATATACACCCTATCAATTTTACCAAACAAAACAAGACAATTGTGCTTCAGCATAAAACATGATATTCACAAAATATACAGTATTAATCTACATACAGATGGGTTATTTTTTGTTTCATTTTATTAATATATTCTTTACAAGTCTACTTCAATGTTAAAAATCATGAAAGTACTTTTCTTATTTAACATGTATTAATGCATTCTAATTTTGTATTTAATTATCTTATCAGGTTATCAATTAAATTATTTATTTTTCATCAGTGAATAAAATAGGGGTATAACTTCTCTAAAAGCAGTGTAGATACATGTATTCCCATATATGGTCATAATAGAGCCCCACCCTAGCTAACTCAAATCCCTCTAAAACATCAGAGGTGGGATCAGGTGCCATGGAGGAGTGAGCATCCTCTGTCAACCAGTGCACTGCAATGCACTGAATGAGACAACACCAGCAACAGACCACTAGAGCTCACCAGCTACATAAAGGGGACCAGGATGATCATCAACATCTGGAAACCATCAAAGTGGACCATTTTCCATACGGCTGAAAGGACTAGTAATGATGTCGATGGATGGCACCATAAGAGCCAAGAAGGCCTGTGTGCCTTTCTACCTGTTGCTAATTATTTAGTTTACAAGAAAATGGCTTGCATCTCTAACCAGCTTAAGATGATAGAAGTGAGGGAAAACTCTGGCGATACCAACAGAAGACAACCAGACTGCTTTAGTGCTACATCAACCAACTCTTGGAGAACTACACCAAGGGATCCATCAGCATCAACAAACTATTGCTGAAATGTGGACAGATTTACAGACAGTAAAAGAAAAGGAAAGTGGGCTAAGTGAAAATGTGGGAAATAAACATGAATGAATATTTGAGTGGAAGCTGCTTTCTTGTCTTTGAGTGCTCTAATTAGTACATACATAAGTTATGCTTTTAAAATAAAGAAAATTTATACTCAATGTTATGACTTCTAAAGATATGAAAATTAATTGAAAGATTAAAAGGTCAAGAATCTACAAATACATAATGAATTTGAAACTAGTTCTAATTGTAATAGAGACTATTACATAGCTAGGTATCCAAATGCTCCCATACTCCCTTTTCCTTATTTAGGGAAATAACAATGCACATGTAGCACAAGTACATTACAGATACAGACTGCTCATTGTCTTGATTTAAATGATTTTTTTAAAAACAGAAAAAGTTTTGCATTTTATGCAGGGGAAAACAGGAAGACAAATAAGTTCAATGAGACTATGGTGCAACTAATGGGCCCTTTTGAAAATGAATATACATTTATATGATGTTTGTTATGTAAATATAATTTTTCATGTATAAGAAGCCCAGATACAATGTAATTTACCTGAGTGTATTTTTGGATCATTTACATCAAAATTTGGATTGAGCATTGTAACTGAGTGAGGTAATTCACCTTCTTTAATTGTCCTATAAAGTGCTTCATATAATAGAAAGCAGTTTTTCACATTAACCAATGAGATTTGTTATTTTAAAATAATAGAATATAGACTTACCTCTTAGATGTGAAAAATATGCACTATGAGCGTTTTGAAAAGTAGGTCAAAGGTCAAGGGTCACGACGTCGGTAACCATGGTAATTTACAAAAGCCATAGTGTCAGGCAATATATGTGCAAAATATCAAATCCATACAACTTCTAGTTCTCGAGATATAAGGTGTGACAGATGGACAGACGCCAGGTAAAGTGATCCCTAAGTGTCGTTCTTCTCTGCAGGTGACACAAAAATTATACAATACTAGCCAACATTCACTACAGGTAAAACGACTGTATAGTGTAGTTTGGATATATGTGTATATCTAATTTTAAATTTAATTATAAACACAGGAAAATTTGTGGTATGAAATATCGACGAAATGTTGTCAATAAAAAAAAAATGTTTTTCAAACTCCTCCATTTTGGGAATAGACGCTCCCCCCATGTAAATGACAAAATGATAAGTCTACATAGATTTACCCTTCTATACTATAAAATCAGACTTGCTGATTTATAGTATAGAGGGGTAGACCTATGTAGACTAATCATTTCGTCACTTACAAACTTTTGTATGGACTCTATATGGGTGGAGTAAGGTGGAGTAAAAAATTACCAAGCTTGGATTTTTATCCTCTGTATGTTTTGCTTTCCCTCTCTGAGATTTCTTTTTCAATGGCTTACGTTCATTACTGTCCATATCGTTTATCTACAAACAAGACATATCAATATTTATTTAGCATGTATAGAATCAATTTCACTCAGACACAAGGTTGTGTACAGTAATCCAACAATGGAAATACATGTTTTGCTTAAAAGTATTCAGAAGCTGCAATGTTAGGAACTATGACCAACTATATATCTTTGATTTGGGTTGCTTTTTTGATAGTCCATCATGTCCATAGTACATAATGATATAGACCTATATATGAATAGCCAAATACTTGCGACTTTTTGTCTCTTTCTTACAATAAAATATTTTTGTGAAAGACTGCATGTAAATAGCTTTATCAGGTTATTTTGAATAGCTTAATAACCTTCATAAAGCTACACATGTAATTCAACAGTTCAAGCTAATAAACTTAATCAATAGAGCATGTAGAGTGTGCTGGACCTGTAAAAGACAAGTGCATTAGCACTTTGATAAATAGAAGTTAAGAACCTACAAAAACTCCTTCGGTTACAGTTATTAAAAATCTTTGTTCTTAAATTTAAAACAGGTTCCTCGAACAGGTCCCAGTTTCCTAACATTTGTATACTGCACATGTGTACATGGATATTGCAATGGCTTGAAGTCACCTTTTAAAAATTAAATTTATCGCTTATAGATAATGAAGAACAAACCCGAGCTTTTTTTTTCCACATAAAATGTCTTGAGGTATATTAATTCAGACGATTAATTATAACAGTTGTCATATATTTACATCCACTGAATATTATTTTCTTTATTTCTTATGAAAACCATTGCCGTTTGTCAGTCAGTAAACGCCACTAAGCAAGCTGCCTGTATAGCTACAATGCAATATTTAACATGTTTAATTTTACTTTAAATGGGTTTTTATACAGATATATAATAAAAATAAACAATTAAATTTATTTCTTTGTTTGTTACTACGGAAATTAACGTCGATCAAGGTGAATTCATGCAATAACGGTTTTTCTATGAATATCTAGCAAGGTGACTACCCCATAACGGATTTATACCGGTGGTTATACCGGCGAAAATCTAGCAAGGTGACTACCCCCAGGGATCATGATTTGAACAAACTTGAATCTACACTTCCAGAGTATATGCTTATGTATTAATATGACTAATAATGGCTTTGCTGTTCTTGAGAAGAATATTAAAAAAAAAAAAATTTCCTATATATTCCTATATAAAACTTTGATGCCCTGTTGTGACCCCACCCTATAACCCCGGGGGTCATGATATAAACAAACTTGAATATACACTACCTGGGGATGCTTTTGTATTAATATGACTAATAATGGCTTCGCTGTTCTCTTTTTTATTTTTATTTTATAGATATTTCCTTTAATGTAAAACTATGACCCCCTGTTGTGCCCCCCCGCCCCCCCCCCCCCCCCCCCGTTGAGTCATGATATGAACAAACTTGAATGTTGAATTACAGTATATGATGAAGCTCTCACATAAATTTCATCTTTTCTGGCTCTTGAGAATAAGATTTTTAAAACATGCTGAAATTTTTTTTTGAATTCTTAATTATTCGCCCTTAAAAGAGGGCAAGGCACTTTCTGAGAACAAACTTGAACCCCCTTCACCAACTTCAGATGCTTTATGGCAAGTTTCGTAGAAACTGGCCCAGTGGTTCTGGAGAAGTCGAAAATGTGAAAAGTTTACAGACACCAGACCACACGACAGACACCGGACACTCTTCGATCAGAAAAAAAAAAACGTTATGGTGTGAAGTCACCTTGCAAGATATTCATATAACAGGCCCGTAGAAAGCAATTTCACCTTGAGGGGGGCACACCCATACATTTTCAGTTGAGAGAGAGGGGCACTATCACCAACTACCAAAAATTCCTTGATAAGCCAAAAAAAGTCATTAGACTTTATTATTGAGGGAGCATAAGCATACAGAAGCTATTTTTTCTATAGTATTCTATATATCGGCAAAATTATTGGGGGCACGCCCCCTCACCCCGGTTCTCCTTGTCATGATCGGGTAAACGAAAAAATTCGAAGAGAATTCAGTGTGTAAATATTGGCCTTACAATCCATTAGTATGAAAAACGTCAGTCAGTATTTGACTTAATGATAGATTGTATTTGCTGATAAGGTCATTGTATCGACCATAGAACTTGCGAAATTATGACTTTAAACGAGACTGTTGATATCCTTGTTTCATCAACTTGTTGGTTAATAGCTTGCCTCGTTTTAAAATTGTTCGTAGGTAGAGCATGCTCTTGCGTATCGAATCAACTACATGTAGAGCATAAACCCCATGTGCAGGTGATAAGGATATATTGCTACATACATAAGGGAAGTTGATAGAAAAGTTAGAGTCATAACGTAAGTCGTTTTTCATAAAGCTTTGTTGTTAGCTAACCATTAACGTCTGGTTCTTGTAAAATATCCAAATATGAAATAGATGTGTAAGACTCTGTATTGTCTTTTATTTCAAGTTCACTGCATAGAATATATCGAATCGACATATGAATGGAAGTAACTATTGTTAACTGATTATATACGTCCTCGATACATTGTATATCTAAATGTCGAAATGAAGGCCACAGCAAGCATTTTCTTCTTCTCATGTAGAAGTATTTGAATAAATTCTGCTTCATATGAATACAAAAATAAGTCTGTTAATAACGGGGCGCTATCGGTACCCTCAGGATCCCAACAGATTAAGAAGACCTAACCTCCAAAAACTACATGTACATAGATATTGTCAATTAGAAACTCGAGCATCTTTTTAATATCAACTTCAGAGTACTTATGTGTACACTCAGAATGTTTTTAACAAAATAATTTTGCAAATGACCAATGACAAGGTAAGTAACACTAAAAAGAGTTCCATTTTTACTGAAAAAGCAGCTGTCAACAGCTGGTCAAACATCCTGGGCTTTAATTTGTCGTGAGGAATGATTGTATAAAGTGTTGGGTATAGTTGTACGTTTTGATGCTATTGATTTTGGTAAAATTTTGTGATTTCAAATTTTCTAAAAGTTCCTTCGAGTTTTTAAGTATCCACATCTGATTTACACCACTTCTCATATAAAGTTCGATATTCAAGAATGTATCGTATCGAAAATATAACTTCCAATACGTATCGGGTAGGCAGTTTTCCTTATAATTCTGTGAAATGGTTGGGAATTTCAATCACCAAAGATTATATATAAAAGTATGGAACGCCGGGACTGTCTTATATGAGGATTAAACATTATATGCAGTGTTCTCTTCATTATATGTGGTACTATTTTAATTATATGAAGTAGTTTTGACAGTATATCGTGTTCAATTTTCATTATATACAGTACTTCTTTCATTATATGATGTAGATGTGTCATTATATTATGTACATTTATTATTATATGAGGTGTTTTTATCATTATATGAAGTGCTTTTAACATTATATGCGCTAGATCTAACATTGTATGCAGTGAACACAACAATATATTATGTACTTCTCACATTATATACAGTATATTCATCATTATATGTAGTATTTCTGTTATTATGATGATGCTGATCGTTAAATATTATGTCTGGTCCTGTTAGCATTCCGTGCGGTAGATTTTGCATTTCGTTATGATGTACACACAGTATTATATGCGGTGCTTTCTTCTTTATGTGTATGATCTTTCGGAAGCTACCTTTCGGAACTCTCTGTTAAAAATTTCGATACCTTGAGAACTCCGACCTTTCCTGTTGAATTCAGTACAATAAAAGCATGCGTATATAACAATTAATAATCCGTGAACAGGTTGAAATGTTTTTTAAAGATATGAAGTATAGGGTAATAGAGTAAAATAAAATCCATTCTATTTCATGGTATGAAGTAAAGAGAGGGGATGGGGGGTTGTTGATAGAAATATTTTGGGAGTGGAAAAAAATTTGAGGCATTTTCTATATCTTTTTTGTGAACAATATGACTTTCAAAAAGATTCATATCATAAATAGGACATGCAATCAATGTCAAAAAAGATAATAAAAAAAAAAAAACAGGGGCGTCGGCAAGAATTTGACACTGGGGAGGCGGACTGGATCGAAAAGGGGGGAGGGGTCCTAACCAACTAAAATAAGACTTCAGCCAAAATCTTGATATTTTTAATTTCTGATTAATAAAAAACAATTAAACATGCAACCAAAAAAAAAATGTTTTATGTGAATTAAGTTATATGCACTATAGATAAAAAAAAAACCGGAATATTTTTAATTAGCTACGAGCTAATGTTTTTTTTTTTTTTTTTTTTTTTTTTTTTTTTTTTCCGAAACGGCATAGAAAGAACTTTGAAGGGTTTATGAGGTAAAGATTCAAATACATATAATTTTCTATTATTGTATAAAATTTATTGTTACTCGCCGAAAGAATGCATAGTTATGAAATTTAAAATGAACAGGGTGATTAATCCTTCATAATCCCCCCCCCCCCCATTTTTGAAATGCAGAAATGTGTATGAAATTAAAAAAAAATCATCTGAAGTAGTTTTAGATAGTATTTGTTACCCAGTATTTTAGTATATTGCTTAATTTTAATAGCTTACAACTTCGATTCATCAAAGATTTCCAAACATCGATAGACCAATTCATTAGACAATGAACAGGCCTGTTATACGCGAGGGGAAGGTGTCAGGAAGGGGTGCTCTAATTTTTTTACCATGCAATTTCTCCACTTTTTCTGAGAAGTTTTTTTTTTTTTGTTTAAGTTTCGATATGTAGAAATTCATTAACTAAGACGCTGCTGCCCCGCCCTCCTTTCGTACACACTTTCTGTTGCTGTCAGGTCGAAATTGGGTAAATTCCAAAAGAATTGAAAAGAAAAAAAAATCCGGCAACTTAGAGAGCCCCCCCCCCCCCAAATAGAATTTCCAAAAACGTTGCTAACTGTGGAGCTGATGAAGAATTTGTAGCAAACTTGCAGGTAGATCGATGGATACCATGCTTATTGTTTACAAACGCCAGGTACAGGTATATAATTATACACGCACACGTACATCCCAATTTGCGTCTTTGTAAACAATAGCTTTCACATTTCGCCGCTCCATTGACCACAGATATTGCCATTATAAATGTTGTAATTTTGTTTTTCTCATTTATTTTTCTTTCATTTTTCATTTCTTTTTTTGTGTGAGGGTGTGTGTGTGAGTGTGTGTGTGTGTGTGTTTTCCAAAATTATCGGGGCGGCGATCGCCGCCCCTTTGCCGACGCCCATGAAAAAACTAACTGCATTCCTACGCCTTCGAGTACGCAGGGCTTTAACAGCTTATAGAAAACACTACATGTATTTACTTATTTGTTTGTTTTTTAGGGGTGGGATGTGCTAATTTTTCACAATGTAAATTACCCTTTTATACCTCATTTTATTTGGTACAGGGGGCTCTACATATATATATATATATATATATATATATATATATATATATATATATATATATATATATATATATATATATATATATATATATATATATATATATATACGTTGTATTACTGGGTAATTTTACCACATATCTTTTTAAAATCTTGAAGTACAACCCACGACTCAATACATTTTCTGTTCTGAAAATCGTTTATCTTTTCCTGATACATTACATAACATTCACATAGTATTTAACTAAAGACAATTTCAGCAATTTTTTTATACACCATAGTTAAACAATTAATACCTAGAACAATAAAATTATTTCAGTAATACATTGTAATAAGTGCATCTCTCTCTCTCTCTCTCTCTCTCTCTCTCTCTCTCTCTCTCTCTCTCTCTCTCTCTCTCTCTCTCTCTCTCGTAAACTACTGAAGTATTGATATGACTTCAAAATTCCTTTAATATAGGGATAAATATTGTGTGGTATGTGATTATTCCGCGATGCTTTGGCTGACGTATGGTTGATTACCAATTATTAAAGATAACCCAAAATCATTAAGAATTTTCATATCTAAGAACGAAAAAAGGTAGAACTTTCTAAATCTAACAAGGGGGTTCCGAAAGGTAGCTTCCGAAAGATCATACACATAAAGAAGAAAGCACCGCATATAATACTGTGTCTACATCATAACGAAATGCAAAATCTACCGCACGGAATGCTAACAGGACCAGACATAATATTTAACGATCAGCATCATCATAATAACAGAAATACTACATATAATGATGAATATACTGTATATAATGTGAGAAGTACATAATATATTGTTGTGTTCACTGCATACAATGTTAGATCTAGCGCATATAATGTTAAAAGCACTTCATATAATGATAAAAACACCTCATATAATAATAAATGTACATAATATAATGACACATCTACATCATATAATGAAAGAAGTACTGTATTTAATGGAAGTTGCACACGATATACTGTCAAAACTACTTCATATAATTAAAATAGTACCACATATAATGAGGAGAACACTGGGTATAATGTTTTATCCTCATGTAAGACAGTCCCGGCGTTCCATATAAAAGCGTTACGAAGTGGAGTCATCTTTTCACAGTTCAATAATTCTAATATAAAAAAAGGAATGGCGAGAAATCACCATGTAAGTTTTGCATGTAAAAAATATTTTAGCCTAAAGTGTCCTTGATACATGACCTATCTATTTTATTTTCTGATTTTCTGTTTTTTTTTTTTTTTTTTTCTTTTTTTTTTTTTTGTCTGTTTGTTTGTTTGGTTTTTTTTTTTGTGAATTTTTCATTTTTTGTCATATGAGAAAAAAATTGCTCGGGTTTGTTCTTCATTATTAGATATAAGCGATAAATTAAAGGTGACCATTTGATTCTTAATTAACGCAAGCAAAATAGCTCCATGCCGATGCTCATGATGCTGTCACTCAACACATTGTGCATTATACCAAATGTCCCTAAATATTGCCGTGCATTAATCAGTCGCCACTTTTCCAAGAAAACGGAATATTTGGAGTGGAAAGAGAATCTAAAATATGCCTTAGAAAATCATCACGAACTGTATCTGCGACCCATAAGGATAGTAAATCCGGTCCATTGGACAAGTTTTTCCAGAGCCCCTTTACAGCACAGAAGATTAAAACTTGCCGATAATGATGCAATATTACAGACTAAGTTTTCCACTGTTTTCAGTAGAGGATTTGAAGATTTAAAGGTTTATTTATGCAACGATGTCGTGGACACTGCTCTGTGTCCGCTCTCTGCACTGTCCGTGTATTTGACAGAATTGCGTATGTACCAAAATTGTTTATTTATCACAGATACCCAGTTTAAAATGATTTCAAAGACTGGGTTTCAAAAAAAAAAGAGACAATGGCCGAATCCTGGTTTGTTTACTTTTATGCGTGCGTCTGAAAATATAGAGCAGCTGTGGAGTGCATGATCATGATGACATCTCCATTCATTGATACATGTACTAATGTAGGGTTGTGTTTCGAAGCTATAAAAACATTAGAGCAATAGTATACAGTTATGGAATGGGTATGAGGGAAATAGCAAATTAATTGTTCTCCAAGGGAGGGAAATAGGCCTAGTTTCCTGCTGAGGGGAACGATAAATTTGATATTTCCCGAGTACCCATTCCATAACTGTTTTATTATACCAAAACAAACACACTACACAGGAGATTTATTTTAAAACGAGACTTAGACATTTTTGAAACAATATAGAAGCATTTATATAAATAATCACGAATGCATGTGATTCTAATTTTGTTAAATATATAATACATCAATACGAAAAAAAAATTAAATTATTTAATTATAACAGAATAAATTAATTTCACTGACATTTCGAAGGATTATCGTTGTCTTCAATTTGCTATAGTAAGAATTGTATGATTTTGACATCGCATGTCGAACATCTTCGCTAGCCAAGGGTTTCTGATACGCTACTCTCCTCATAAGCCCTTGGCATACGGTGTTTTAAAAAGTTGGGATTTTTTTCTCAAGTTGTGATTGGAGTTGATCGACATCGTTTGACCAATCAACAATTGTTTTTTGTAAATGACATTATTTGCGTTCGGGATATATCTTGACTAACGATCCGTTAGATAACATGCCATTCTATGAATAGCTATATGGTGTCATCCAATATCTTAAGCTACGTGCAAAATATGTGATTCAGAATCAATACTGAAGATCTTGATTTGCATTTTAACATGTTTAAATAACAAATTAACATAACTCAATACCTTCTTGTTAATTATAATTCTTTTTAAACATTATTTTTTAAATACGCTTTTTATTTCTGTCGATGACACAATCTATGTGTACCTGGTAAGAATCATGATCACATGATGAGAACAATCCCGTCTTTTGTCAGCACCGAATGCCAAGGGTTTATGAGGAGAGAAGCGTATCAAACCCTTGGCTAGCGAAGATGCATGTTGAATTGTTTTGACGTCATAGTTACGTTGCTAATACCATTACGTCACAGACTCAAGATTCCTTGAATGCTCCGCCCACTGTTCATTTTAATTGGTAAAAATTATTAATAATAAATATTCATGAAGGAGTAGTCCCTGGGAGTAGCTCTGATATTTCAGGGAGTAGTCCTCAGATGGGGGAAATAGTATCTTCTGGGGGAAATGGACAGTTTTATGGTATTGATTTCAGTGACATATAGAGTAATAACAGTAGAGGTATAATAATGTGTTGTAACGAAAAGAAAATCAGTGACTTTAAATATGCTATTAATATATTCATCTGATGCAAGTCCACGGTTTTGTTACAAGGTGAAGTACATAGACGTATTCACACGAAATCTGTAGTGAATGACCAGCTTCTACTGTATAAAGGGAAATGTTCGCCCCATTTTATTTTCGCCCCCTTCACCCTTGTCAAAATTGGGCGAATTTAAAATGGGGCGAATTCAAAGAAAACGGCATTATCTCAAACAGAACTGTGTGAGGGCAAATTCAAAATGGGGCAAAATTGTTTGCAGGTGTGAAAGAGGGGAAAATAAGATGGGGCGAGAATAACCTTGTATACAGTATTTGTTTACAACACAATGAGGTCAAATAGATGGGGAAGCCCGAGATCTCAATTCTGTTTAATTCTTTTTTAAGGTCTATAATTTCTTTTGAATGCCAATAAGTTTACCATGATATTGTAGATTGTTGTCTATTAGTAAGTTAAAATACATTCTAGCTATAATGAAGGAATGTTTTTAGGTCACTTGGGCATCAGGTGACCTACTGCTATTGGTTGGCATCTGTTGTCGTCCTTTAACAACTTCTCATGAAAAACTACTGGGCTGATCTTTACCAAATTTTGGTATGTAGGATCTTTAAGAAATCTTTTATTTACTCCTGGACATAATAGGAAACAAACTAGGTGAAAAGTAATGGTGAGCAAGGAACTCTTAAGACCAAAATTGTCATTTTCCTGACCCCTAGGTGGGGGGTTCTTTTTCTAGAGTGTGGCCATATTTATTAATGGTCATATATAGTACATGTATATTGAAAGTGCAGTATTTCTTTAAGAGTCATCTTTCTCTTCTCCTTGGCATATAGAAGAGAAACTGAGTATGTAGTATTGATAAGCAAGGAAGTCTTGACCAAAATTATAATTTTCATGACAAACTAGGTGTATAGTTTTGGTGAGCAAGGAACTCTAGACCATTATTGTCATTTTCCTGACCCTTGGATAGGTGGTTCTTTTTCTAGGGTGTGGCCATATTAATCATATATTGAAAATGCAATATTTCTTAAAGAGTAATCTTTTTATACTTCTTGGCATATAGAAGAGAAACTGAGTAATATATTATTGAGAAGCAAGGAAGTCTTTACCAAAATTATAATTTTCATGACCCCTGAGGTATCAGTTTTGGTGGTTTTTGTTTGTTTGTTTGTTGTTTAACATCCCTTTTGAGAATTTTTCATATGAAGACTCCACCACTTGCCAGTGGAGAGCTGCAAATTTTGACCTATACTCGGCAATCAGGGCCATAGAGCAGTGAGGGATCTTTTTAGTGCCACCACCTACTGCGACAAGGGACCTCAGTTTATACGGTCTCATCTGAAGGACCGGTCTCCACGTCCCAAAGTGGGATTCAAAACCTGCGACATAAGGATAACTCCTTATTCCGCAACTGTAGAGCAAACACTCTAAACCACTGCACTATGCGGGTGACCAGTTTTGGTGGTAGGACATGGCCATATTACATCATAGAGTAAAAATGCGTTCATTGTTTAAAAATCGTAACTTCTCCTAGACAATCTGAGTTTATGGTAATGGTGAGTACGAAACCTCTACTGATAATTGTAAATTGCATGATCCTTAAGGACAGGGGTGTGGTTGTGTGTGTGTGTTGGGGGGGGGGGGGTAATTGCGTAAAAGCTTAAATACAATCATGTTTAAAAATTCTTAGCTATTGTTTATACCAAAAGGAAACTAGTTATTTAGCTACTGAATTGTAATTTATTTAACTGGTTTGCAGGGGTTGGCCAGAAAGGGGGGGGGGGGGTTAAAGAGTGTTATTGCATGTGATGCTTATAAAAAATCTTTATCCCTAGATATTTGGTGCAAATGATAACTGAATAAGCATGAAGATAGGATGATAAAGATTTTAACTGAGTAATACTTTAGAGAAAGAGTTGTGGTGGTGATGGTGGTAGTGGTGGTGGAGGGGGGTGGGGGTCAATTTGCTGACATGTACTGATATATTAAACACTGTATTCTACTATAAATAATTCTAGTAATGCAATCTACCATTCCCATATATTTTGATTCTAAATGCCCAGGGAGGAGGAAACTTGGCATATAAAATTATGAGCCTAAAATTTCTGACAGGTCCCTTCATGGTCTTCGATACTCAGGTGACCTTTAAGGCCTGTGGACCTCTTGTTAATGATTATCAGCATAGTTTTAGAGGCAATACCTTGTTTGTTTTTAATTTGTTAAGAAATTGTTGTAAAAAAGAAATATGTTGTTTGCAACAATGCGTCTGGAGGTAGTCAATAAATTCAGGTCCCATTTATTTCGTACCGCATAATATTTGGCCCCACACCAAAAATTTAAATTTTTACCATATGTACAGCTTTATAATTTGATTCTTTGTTCACATGTTCGAATTAATGAGGATTTTCAGTATAAAATATGACTATGTTATGAGACACCAGTGAAACCCTTCTGGCTCCAATGGGATATTGAGGGGAAGACATTGTTGGCAAAATTTAAGCTTTGAAAGAAAACATTGAATGTTTGTTCAGTTTCTTTTCCATTTTGAATAGAATGGTCCAATACAAACAGTTTCCCAAATTTTAAAATCTTATTGATTTGCATAAGGGAAAAATAATATTGTCACCTTGTTGTAGAACTTTCTATACTTTGATGATTACAGGTGAACAGGAGGAGACCTTGAAAGAAGGACTCAGTAAGTATGCCAAAAATGATATACCTGAGATATACGTAGCAGCTCTTCTGACCAATCATCTCCTCTCCTGTCTGGTGTATGGAAATGAGTACTTGATTAGTAAAGATTATCGGAGAAAACCACCACTCTGTCCTTGCAGTAATAATGACTGTGGAAAATACATCACATATGGAGAAACAGGTGTAGGTAAGTATCCAAAACTACATTTATAAAATTTAGCGTGATTTAAAATTTAGCATGTACAGTGTTTAATGTTTGATATTTCTAATAATTTTAAAAACCCTGCTAGTTTTCTTTGACATTAAATATATCAAAATATTGAATTTTTGCATAGTCCTCACAAAATACTCATTATTCAACAGAATTTATAATTTTAACTTCCAAGAAATAGCATGGAATATATGTATGTAGGTCCTATTGTGTAGCACCTGCCCTTTCACCCACCTGTGTGACATTTTTTTTATTGAGTTTAAGGGGCCTAATACCACTGTCCAAATTTAATGGAGTTTGAAATGAGAAATGGCTCTAAATTCGCTCTTGAGTACATCTGGGTGGACAAATAAAGAATTCTGTAGACACGTTTTTTTCCTTAGATTTCTTTATGTGAATTTGAAGTTTTGACTCTAAGTAGGACAAAAATGTTTGAATAGATAATTAAGTCAAAAATAAATATTTTATTAATTTTTGAAATGTGTGTCATGTAACACATGACAGACATATAACGTAACATGACAGACGTATAATAAAAGGTGACATGATCAAATTACATTTCTGATGCTTAGCAATACAAATAATCTGTAAAAAATAAATTTAAACAATTTCTTAAACAGTGCAATTTTTTTTTTCACTCTTACGTAGATGAAAAAAGATTTTTTAGCTACTTTTGATGCACAGACTGATGACCGTAACACTGACAGACTCCTCTACTTAGCTAGACAAATCAACCATAAACTTTCATTATTTTATCAAAAAGACAATGTTGCCGTAAGAAATGGACATTATTCAAATTTTGATTCCTTAAAGATTTTAAATTTGAATTTTTAGGTCACCTGAGTTACTAAGGTGACCTATTACTATCCATTTTTGTCAGTCGTCATGCGTCGTCCGTCGTGCGTTAACATTTAAACATTTTCAGCTTCTTCTCTGAAACCGCTCAACCAATTTCAACCAATTTTGGCATATAGTATCTATGGGTGAAGGGGGACAAAAATTGTTAATTTCATGGTCCCTGCCCCCCTGGGGCCTGAGGGGTGGGGCTAAAACCACCAGAATTAATGCAATCTTTAAAAATCTTCTACTTTACTCCTGGACATCAAGCAGTCAAACTGCTGGCATGATTGCAATAAGCATTGAGCCCTCTACCAAAATTGTGAAATTCATGGCCCCAGGGTCAGGGGTTCTGGTGCTAGGGTGGGGCTATATAGATCATATAGTGAAAGTGCATTATTTCTTTGAAAATCTTCTTTTCTGCTCCTGGGTATTAGATAAACTAACTAAGTACATAGCTTATAGTTATGTAGAGCAAGACTGCCTCTTCCAAAATTGTGAATTTCATGGCCCCTGGGTCAGGGGTTCTGGTGTTAGGGCGGGGCTCTATTGATTATATAGTGAAAATGCATTAATTCTTTGAAAATCTTCTTCTCTGCTCCTGGGTATTAAATAAACTAACTAAGTACATAGTTATGTTGAGCAAGAGTGCCTCTTCCAAAATTGTGAATTTCATGGCCCCTGGGTCAGGGGTTCTGGTGTTAGGGTGGGACTCTATTGATTATATAGTGAAAATGCATTAATTCTTTGAAAATCTTCTTCTCCGCTCATGAGTATTAAATAAATTAACTAAGTACATAGTTATAATGAGCATGGCTGCCTCTTCCAAAATTGTGAATTTCATGGCCCCTGGGTCAGGGGTTCTAGTGTTAGGGCAGGGCTCTATTGATTATATAGTGAAAATGCATTATATCTTTGAAAATCTTCTCTGATCATGGATATGGTATGAAATAAAGTAACTAAGTACATTGTTATGATGAGCATGATTGGCTCTTCCAAAATTGTGAATTTCTTGGCCCCTGGGTCAGGGGTTCTGGTGAAAGGGGGAGGGGGGGGGCTCTAATCTATTGATTATATAGTGAAAATTCATAATTTCTTTCAAAATATTTTTTCTACGCCTGGTTATAAAGCAAAGAAACAAGTGTATAGTTATGATGAGCAAGGATGCTTTTACAAAATTTTTAAAACTTGTGGTCCCAGGGGTTTTGTTGTTTCTCTGAGAAGGGGGTGGGGGTGGGGGGTGGGGGCTCTATTTGATAATATAGTGAAAATGTGTTCTTTGAAAATCTTCAACTAATTGCATAGTTATGATAATGAGGGTACCTATTCCAAATTTGAAAATTTTCAACATCTGGACCATTTAGTCAAGTGTTCTGGTCCTGGCCAGGGCTCTATTAATTTGTATTCTATTGAGTGAAGTTATTCCCCTTTGCCATTCACTTTTGATAATTAATCACTGTAGATAATGTATTTGAAAGGTTTATAGAATAAGAGAATTATGCAAGAACATTTATTGTATAATACAAAAAGTACTTTCATAGTTTTAATGATCAGGTAGACTTGGAAATAATAGATGAATAAAAATGAAACAAAAATAACTTATCTTCTTAAATGTTCTTCAAAGGCCAAGTGAGGCCATTGTGAGAGGTAATAATATAGACATTTTGTTAAAAGTCTGCATGGTAATAGTGATAAATGGGGGACAGATAGAAATATACTAGACTAATTATTCTGTTGATCTTAATCGTACTAATTTTCTTGCTATTGGGCAACAATTAAAGCTTCATTTATCAGTTAATGGATCCTCTAAATTGTTGTACTCAGGTGACTGTTAAGGCCCTTGGGCCTCTTGTTAAAAATAAATCTCTGCTATAGGCTTTGTAACATACAAAATTTCCACCATGTCTGTCATGTTACAATATTTCTTGAGCAGTACCTGTTTGAAACGAGCCAATAAAATTTATCATTCAAAGCTTATCTTTTTTTCTTGGAAATTATAATACACAAGACGTTATTATTTGTGAAAATACTAATGAAATTTAAAAAAATAAATTATTTCATATAGATCAAACCTATATCGTAACATGTACGGATGCACGTAACCCTGACAGACTCATTTTAAAAACTGCAAGAAAACAGCTACAGAATTGTTTTGTTTAAGTTATAAAGACAAATTTGCCTTATGATTCATTAATATTCTGAAATAAAAACACTTTTTGATTTAATTCACTGAACGTATAAATCTGAATGCACCTGTTTGATTCACGTAACATGAACAGACATTCGTTTTGTCCGTCACCGTTACGATAGTATTCAGGCAATGTCTGTCAACTGGTATGCTATGTAAGAAATGTCAAATTTTAAGTGTTTATGTAGTGATGAAGAGCGTGCAAGTTCATAATTTAAAAAAAAAAAAATCTAAAATACACCTACTAGTTGACAATATTTGATGATCTGTGTTTGAAATCTAGGATAAAGCCAACTTATAATTTCATGAACGTAACATACTTTGTGTAACGTAAGACTTGACAGACAAACTTTCGTGGCTTCTCGGGCTCTCTCTGTAGCTCTTATCGAAATGTAAACACATTTGCATAGAACACTGGAGAAAATTTAAATATTCATAACCTTTAAGTCAAATGTATAAGAAGAAGCATCTCCGAGCTCCATTCTTAAAATAGAACGTAACGCCCACTTGCCATGACAGACACAGGAAGCATCCAACAGATTTGTTAATTTCTAAGCACATGTGCTTTTCTGTTGAATCTGCGATCACTTAATTGATATATAGGTAAATTTCTATCAGTAGACAAGAAAGATAAAATAGTTTGCATAAACAATGGCCCATTTTATAACAATGTACCAGGTGTATTGAGACTGACAGACGTTACGTTCAAAATATGAGAAGAAATAAATACCAATTTTTCTTTTATTTGAGACATAATGTGCATTAAAATACCTTTGTATGTTAAGTTTATCCTTCCTAAACAGTAGTGAATGAAGATATTCTGTGTACAAGGTATTATCGCCGTATATTTGTCTTTTGTTTTGACATGGTTGAAAATGTCCCCCTACATGTACACAAGCATAATTCTAGTGGAATTATCAAATTCATTTCAAGAAAAAAACATAAATTGATGAAAAATTCTGCTTATTTTATCTTTTTTATATATTTGCAATATACTTTTCAATATAAAACATTTTTTATTTCAATTTTTTAAATAATCTATTTTATATTCCTGTTGTTAAAATCATAGGTCAAGATGTACTCAAAAGCAAATTTAGAGCCAAATTACTTCATACCCCTTGAAACAAGGTTGGGTGTGGTAAAAATATATCCCATTTCATTTAGAAATGAGTGTAGTGTATAGAGCATATGAAAAGTATTTCAAAGAGATGAACTCAACATACGTGTCTTACTAGTACTCCACTGCAGCTTTAATTTATATTGTGGATTGCACTTAGTGTGTTTAATTTTAGAATGCTTGTTGAAGATGTTTAACACATTATCTCTAACTGTCAAAGCAAGCTATTAACCCTTTTTATACATTTTTTCTTACTTACACAAACTCAACTTATGAAAAATTTTCTTAGAAAAATGTGATATTTAATATTCAAGTACAATACCTTTAAGACTCATAAAGTTCATGTCAGATGCAGTAAGTTCTATGTTTGACAGACATTTAACTCTTTTTTAGCTCACCTGAGCTGAAATCTCAAGTGAGCTTTTCTGATCATCTGTGTCCATTCGTCTGTAAACTTTTCAATTTCTTCTATAAAGCCACTGGGCCAATTTCAACCAAACTGAATTGCAAAAAAGCATTTATGGTTGAAGGAAAAATGAAGGGCTATGCCCTTCGCCTAAGGGAGATAATAATGTAATGATGACTTCTAAAAATCTTCCCCTCTAGAACCACTGGGCAAATTTCAATCAAACTTGGCACAAGGCTTCCATGGGTAAAGTCAATTTAGATTTGTTCAAATGAAAGACTATGCCCCTCTCTAAGGGGAAATAATTGTGAAAGAGAAAAAATTTACTGAAAGATTTTAAAATTTTAAGTAAACTGCCACAAGTTATCCTTGACTTTGGGTGATTCAAGTCACTCAGGTGAGCGATGTGGCCTCTTGTACTTAACATTACTTATTGTCTAGAAAAACAATACAGAGTTTTGGGGAAAGGGATTTAATGCAACAGAAATGCTGAGGATAATTTTTAATGTGGTAAACGAGCTTTATTTGTCGAGGAACTCTTTGAAGTTTTGCAAAGATATTGTCTTCGCAAGTATTTCTTGTTGTGAACCAGTCTTTGACCCCTTTTGCTTTAAAGAGATGGCTCATTCCTGGTGAAAAATTTATCAAGAACAAAACAAAACTATAGTTAATGCAAATACATTTATTTTACAAGAAAAGAAATTCTGGTACAATCTGATTAAAACCAGAATTTTGAACTTGCATACTAACTTGCTTCACTAACATTTAACATCATCCAACAGAGGGTCACATCAGTGGTACATTGTAAAATTCAGAAAACCTTACATGTAAGAATTATATAGGTCTTTAAATTCCACTTTATAGCTCACCTAAGCTGAAAGCTTGTGTGGGGTTTTCTGATCACTTATTGTCTCATCTTTCCAGACATATATATCTGTCTCTAAACTTTTTGTCCCCAGCAGTAACAGGATATAGGGACATAGTAATAGTAGAGGTCCGTCCATTTGTGCATCTGTGAGTCCATCACCTTACTTTTTGGTCACAACTAATCCTAAACCCCTGGATGAATTTTATAGGATTGTTAGGCAACATTTGTGCGTAACTCTGCACCACTATTTTGATTCAGCAAAATTTATAAAAGTCATTGGACTTTGAACATTTCTAGTGATTCATTTTGAAAATGGCTATTATGGATCCAAGGAACCACTCTTAATGACAGCAGTGCATCCCATGCCAAAATCAATGTGTCCAGATCTTAGGGTGTACCTATTCAGATATTACAGAAGAAATTCTGACTATAAAAGGATACAATCCTATTCAGATATTACAGAGGAAATTCTGACAAACTATAAAAGGATACAATCCCTGAAAGTTCTACTTTCCTATTTTTCTGTTTGCCCATTAATTTCATTCACCTTTCATTCAGCATGCATTCACTATTCATTCAGCGTGCGCTCACCATGCACTAACATATACTAGGATTGAATATTGTTCACTTTTCCACAAGGGGAGATAATATGAAAATAGCAAAATTACATTCTCCAGAACCCATATAATTAAGTATGTCCAATTCAAATACAGCTTTGTGTTTATCCACAGTTTTTAAAGGTAGAATGATCATTTTAATCCCATTATCAAACCTGAATACCTGAATAATATGCACAATTGAATTAGACAAAAAAGGTAATAAAGGTATAACTTTTATTGTTTAATATAGGTACTCATACATAACTGCACAACAAACATGCAGGTGATGTTTATTTCTCTGATGTGATGGCATCTCTCATTAATCATGGTTTCAGGGTTAACCTCTTGTCATCTCACTCTGATCCATGCAGTATTGATAGTTTCCCTCATTTTTCATTTGACATAAAACATTCAGTTTAGTGCATCCCCCTTTGTTCACCTTACCAATGTGGCAGCAGTCAGATGGTGGGAGGATACAAACAGTGACTTCATGAATTAGCACAATAATTACTCTAAAAATTTTCAAATCACTTAGCATGTAGCATGCATGCACTAAATTGAACCTTTTTTTCTAAAGTTCAGAAATAAGAATGTTATATAATTATCTGGATGGAAAAACAACTCACCCCTCCTTGCTTAGTGCATTTTGCTGAAAGAGTACAGCTCACAACTAAATTGTCTCATCCAAATATAGACATTATATAGACATTCATAGATTTGATGACCCACTGTTGTCTTGTATCATTCAATTAGAATGTGAGAATTTTTTTTAGCATTAGGTAACTTGCTAACTTTCTATGAAAAAAATCTAGTATGCAACAACAAACCAACATATTGGCAATAGTCTCTATTAAATGTGATGACTTCTATTTAGTTTGAAGATAAAAAAAAAGACACCTTCTGATTTCAATCTATAAAGTTACTTTAACTTGTATACAATTGAATTCGCAAAATATAACAAGTTGAAGAGTTAAAAATTATAAGCATAATGTATGCAAACTTGTGCATTACACAAACAATAACCACAACGTAATTTTTAAATCACCACACTAATACTGTGGTCAAATGCACACATCCCAGACTTGCAAAATTAAAATCAAGGAGAGGGTGAGCCTATAGCTTGGGTCTATCAATTATTTTTCTTTGGGAAATGGGTAATCTTGGATGATCTAGACACATGTTACTGTCTAGGTAGATGTGTTCATCAGAGCAGAAAATTATCCTGACTTTGAGATAATACATTTTAATTCACTTCAAGGTAACCAGGGTGTTCCAGATTACCACTTTCTTTTTATATCATTTAAAGAGCAAACATCATTGGGACTCTGCAGAATAACTTGGAAATAAATGGGGTATTTGAGAAATCGGTGTTCAAGATACTGAGGATTAACTGTACTTATTTTAGGAAGGGTGTGGTTGGGTTCTTTTAAAGATTTTGAACTGACTCTTTTCTCAATCAAGAAAGACAATCGAATTTTAATATTTCTTATTTTTTTAACTCGGAATTGAGCACCACTAAAATATGTTAGACATTTTATAAGATTTCACAGTCATACATTATATTCATATTTCCCTCTTATCTGTCATAATCATGTAATCATACAAATTGTATCAGCTGTCATTGTGAATGGTTTTGTGAATAAGATGACATACATGTTGCAACGGACTTTGCTGCCATTTGTTCAAGCAACATGTCTTACTACATGTACTTTCTCTTATAAATCTAATCATTTGCAGAGGTATAATCAAAATATAAATGCCCTAATGCTACATGTAGCAAGGGATTAATGAATCTTTTGCAATTGCAAGCTAAGCAAATGCCCCTGACAATAGTTTTGCATACTGTCCAGAAAATAAAATCTGATACTTTGTAGTGCATTTGTAGATATTAACAAATGATAATGAAAGTGAATGATTTTGTAGTAATTGAAGATCTTAAGTTGAAGTGTACAGATTTCTTTTAAGTTGAACTTGTTTCTTCTTTTTTCTTTGGTAAAAAGGTTTTAAAAAAGGAAAAGGAGAAAGTAGTAAAATTTTTACTTTCTTGAAACTTAACAAATATTGATTTTTTATAGGTCACGCAGATATATGGTATGGCCGCCCAGATGTGGTAGTGATTCCAAAACCGAATAATGGCTATATGGTTCCACTTTGGTATATCAATGAGGAAGAAGAAGATGAAGAGGATGAGATAAGAGATGTGCATCCCCTGGAAATCAAAGTTCAATCCAAATTTAAACATTTTGCCTCACAAGTTTTGTCTCAAGCTATCACTTTTGCATTTTACCAGTCAAATGTCATAAAAAAGAGAGGAATTGTCCCATTGACAACATTAGTGCCCTCTCTTGTCCTAACACCTAGACATTATTACATTATCTTGTATGATTACAAGAATGACATTCTATTAAGCAGTGGACATCAGGACTCTTCCTTGTGGGATGATACTAATGACTGTAGGCTCAATTTATCTGCAATTCTTCATATTTGGATGGTTCTGAATTATAAAGACTTTGTTCCAACATTAGATACAGAGGTTATACATCATTTTGCTAGAAGTTCAAATATTCACAATATTTTAGAAAGTCAAAATCTTTTAGAGGAAACTGAGAAAATTTCACGCAAAAATTCTCTCGTAACCAGTAATACAAATGACGATGATGGATGTGTCAGTGTTAAAGACATAAAAGATTTTATAAAAGATCCACATAAAAGAAAGTGGTATTGATATTCAAACAAAACATTGTTATAATTAAAAATGTTCATGTTGTTAGCCCTTCCTTTTCAATTTTTAGCCTGATGGAAGTCAAATCAGTATTATGCTTGCCTTGCCCTTAATTTGAGGTTTACAAGAATTATGTATTTTTAAATTGGTACTGCAATGCATAAAGTAAACATTGAATTGTCATTGGCAATAATAAAAAACAATGGAAAAAATTATGTACAGTTGGACTAAGTACAGTTCTATTGTTTTAGGAGACTTTGTATGCAGAACAGGAACCATTTTGGAAAATGTCAGCTTGAGTAGACCTGTAGAGCTGTCAATTTGTTTTTAGAAGTCAGGGTCATTGTTTTATTTCAGTTTACACATGTGGTTTGCTGTGTATGAAATCATATCTAAAAATATGGTTATTGACTGTTAAAGGTTTTAAAGTGGTAAATTTTAAGGCTTAATTAATATACTGATTACACAAAATGCTGTGATGCTTGCCATTTAACTTTGTTTTACATTTATTGTTAATGACAATACCATCTACTTAATCCAGTTTTGGAATAGATACCTTTATTGTTAGTGAAAATAGCATCTACATAATCCAGTTTTAGAATAGATACCTTCAATAGTGTTAATATTGATCACATTGCAGGGTTGAAATAGAAATAGAAAATTGAGAATTGTACAATTATACACTAGAGAATTGAAATAGAAGGGGACATTTAAAAAGTAGAAGGGAAACTGGCGTTCCTCCCCTAATGGGGAGTTTAAGGGGAATACCAAAATAACCAGGGGATTACAACATTATAGGCGGGAAAATTCCCAGGCCCCGGGTCTTAGGGACAACCCTGCATTGTCATTGGCATTTAATTTTGTAAAGATTATCTTTCTTCAGATCAAATGATGTCAAAAACACTTTTTAAAGCAAAAGATACCACATTCCAGCATAAAACTTTCTTGTAAGGTAGAGAAGCAATGATATACGGGAAACAAATTTTGGTTTGTTTTTATACGCCCGTCTTTAGTTGAAAGACCTTGAATGATGTCAGGGATTTTTTTTTTTTTTTTAAAAGAAAGTTCTATCGCAGTATAAAGCTTTGTTGTATGCTAGAACAATATTCGATACAGATGGAGAACTTTGGTATACATTTTAGGGTAAACAATTTGGTTGATTTTCTGCAGTTAATTTATTAGGTGAAATTTTGTCATGTGCTTCATATCACACTACATTTGATTTGAGGATGGGTAGCACTGTCTTTGAATTTGAATATAAGTTATATTTGAGGTTCACTATATTTGACACGTTATGGGAGAAGTAAGTGATTTGAACAGACATTAAAATATCTTTTCTTTACTTGATTCCTAAACGTCATATAAATCCTTACGAACAAAGACTTGCTGCGTCCAGCAAATGTTCTACCAAGCCCCTTTTCATGGGATGTCACTCCTAACAAAGATCTTAACTGCTGTTAAGGAGAAACTTTAGACGTACTGTGCTACTGCACATTCTAGAAGTTGTGTGAATTGGATGTGGATTCTTAAAAAAGTCGAAAGAACTTTTAGAAATATTAAAATCGCCAAATTTTTCGAAATTCAATATCATTAAAACGTACATATTTTCTACTCTTTCCTCACTATAATTAAACACTAGGCTTTTTGATATCATGGATAACTGCTTCTTCAATAAAAATGGAACTCGGTAATTTTTACGTTGTAATTGGTCATCAGCAAACTTACTTTTTTGAATTCACTCTAATTCTACACGCTAGTACTCTTAAGTTGATATACAAGGTAGTACAAAACACCCATGAAACACCCTTCTCACGTACACTAGAAAAAAGAATAATATCACTATAATGTCAATAGTCAATGATCTTTATAAGGAAATCATTAATCAATGAAACGTGAAATGAAAGGCTATTGACAGAAAAATTGATGTTACAGGAATTTCAACAACTTCGTTTAAGGTCAGCCTTTCGTAAATTCTATGTCGATATAATGACTTTAGTACAAAAACCATATCTGCTTGAACTTTCAGTAAGGCGTGACAATCTTGGCGATACATAATTAGCGTCTCTCAAATGGTGACCTAGATTCTCATTGGTTTAGAAATTCATATTATTAGCAACTTTAGATTGTTGTTAACAAACAATGAGATGACATAAGCCACTCCTCTTTACTGTAAGAAACGATAAATCCGGTTCCTTGCGTCACTCGTTGACGTCTGAACAATTTTTATCCCATGTGTATTTCACCCGTGAATGAAAAGCTGTGTAAATTTCACTGTTGATGAGTTAATCTGGCAACCAATGAGAATCTAGGTCACTATTTGAGAGACGCTAATTATGTATAGCCGAGAACATCACGCCTTACTGAAAGTTCAAGCAGAAATGGTATTTGTACTATTAACAAATATAACCTACCATTTGGTCGAATTTTGGCTGACGTGTTTCATGCCGATTGTTAGGCCTTTGTTATTATACCAAATTTGACAAGAGATATTCCGTCCACCTGATCAATACATAAAGCTCACGGCGGGTGTGATCTGTCGACAGGGGATACTCACTCTTCCTAGGCACCTTATCCCACCTCTGGAATTTCCGGATGTCTTTGCTTTATGCCTCTTTATAGATTTGTATTGTCTGTAGATTTCTTTTGAGATCGATTACTGTTCGTTATCTTCAGCTTTTTCAATTGGAAGTTACTTCAAAGTTTTTATTCTGGTAACTTTAAAAGGTTGCTTTCCGCATCAACAGTCACGTAATTGTGCAAGAAATAATTTCATAACAAGAGGCTCATCGTTCATCTGAGTCTAACTGTTCATGTTGCACTTTAGAGTTTTTTTTTTTTAAATCTCTCTTTAAATAATCCAATAAAATGTTTATCCCAATATTGTGACCTCACCCTTCCTAATCTGTACTATGATTTGGACAACCATAGGTCTACACTTCCTACATTTGTATATGAGGCTGCATGCATTTTAATATGCATATGACTAATCATAGCCTCTATCTTGTAAAGATCTTAAAACTATTTTTCTACATTCTGATGCAAGAATGTCTAATTCAGAGGGCTTCATTTTAAAGATATGTCAAATAGTTTAGATAAATGTTGACTTTAAAAGTGATTTGACACTTTGGTTTATTAGCGCATATTCGAAGCTGTAGGTTCGAAGCTGTCTTGAAATGATATTTTTTTTTAGTATTTCACACTTTTTTTTACGAGCGCTGCTGTCTGAAAACTAGCACATAAATGTATTTTCATTACCTAAAATTTATAGGTAAGTTGCAAGGAAAGAATGTCAAAGTTTCAAAAATTTCACACAAAGACTTTTCGGACATAGGTCTAAAAAAATATTCTCGTGTATACTTCAGGTTCGTTCGACCCCTGTGCCGTGACCAAAAATTGTAGGATCAATTCCGATGCTCATTCTGTAGCACATTTGCCAAACATTTTCTTAATGCTGAGTATCTATTGATACACACACACACACACACACACCCTCACACACACACACCCTCACACACACACCCACCCACACACACACCCACATATATATATATATATATATATATATATATATATATATATATATATATATATATATATATATATATATATATATATATATAATTCGGACAACCCTCTTCAAATGAACATTCCTTAAAATTTCAGACCGTTTGAAGTATATTAATATTGATTGAAGAATTATGCATGTTCGTATGAATTGATTGCTTGTGCTATTAAATAAATATATGCATGTTTAAATAAAAAAAATGTTTCGATAAAAAATAATGATGGATCAGAATTTCTTTTTAAATGTCATCATGTAACATTTTGATCTCTTATACCCTGTATGACTGCCCTACCTTCGGGGACTTTGATTTTGTGACAAAAGGCTTCTTTTGCAGTCAAAACGTTAATGAATGTCCTTTTCATTAATATTGAGCTTCTTGTGAAATGTGTGCAGAAAAATTTAAATTTATATTCTTTTTCAAAGTTTGGAGAAAAATTAATTGATTTTCAAATTTTAGGAACTTAATGACAGACAATCAGTCAGAAAGAGGAAGCGTTCATATTTAAATCAGTTCGTTAATTATCTGCATGCACTTCATTTAATTTGCCATTTTCAAAAAGTGCATAATTAGTAAATTAAAGCTTTATACGCTTTAAGCGGTTTAAAAATAGAGTTGGAAACTTATATATTTTGTTAACCAAATAAAGTTACGAAAATGCCGTAAATTACACAACTGAATTCGAACACTGTTTTAAGATGTGAAATTATTCATTTTTCAACAAGGATATTTATATTAATGTATCATTTGACACCGTCTTGAACTTAGCTTTAGATTGATAAACAACAATGGCGTAAGAAGAAGAGGTAGACTGGTTGCTATACAAGTAACCCTTTGAAAGTCATATACTTAATTGTATTATATCTTTCAAAGGAACCAGTACTAACCATCTACTCTGCAATGTCAGTTAATTAACATTTTATTCATAATAGTACTCATGATGCAACTTACCTTGTCTTTTATATATGCTTTCCAGCGGACATGTGTGTTAAAGTTATTTAGTACGTACTTCCCTCATCAATATTCATGAAAAGGCAGCATATCTTAACTGCAGATCTTGCTTAATTGCTTTATAATTACAAAGACTTAGAAAAAAATATGTGGAAAGTATTATTTTTTTCATTACATGACAAGTTTCTCAAATCATTTTGTCATTTTTTCCCACATAAAATATCAGTGTTTTTGATACCGAGTATAGATTTACGATGGAATGCCACACCAAAATTTTATTTCATAGATCTTTTAAGATATCCCATTTCAATTACGTTTTATTTAAAAATGCGATGCTTTAGGATTTAAAATTTGCGGTTGATAAATGCATTATAATATGAATATCGGAAAAAAAAACGTGTCAAGAAAATATGCTCTCTCTCTCTCTCTCTCTCTCTCTCTCTCTCTCTCTCTCTCTCTCTATATATATATATATATATATATAGACGTCCTTCTGTTTTGTACAGGAACATCTTTTTCGCACCTATGATTGTTTTGACATACATGAACTCATCATATCTTAAAGGAAAATGCACTGCCCACCTAATATAGTATAATGTCAATGAACACAAGCGCTCCCTGTTAATCATTGTTTACAATTTAGATATGCATGGAAAATAATACACTCAAATAACTTGGGTGCGACGTGTAATTTTCACCCAGTGCTCGTTGGGATAACAAAGTGTTGTGTCATTCATCCGATACATTATTAGATTTTCTACTTTATTGAGGTATAAAATAACATATCATTATTCCCAAAAAGACAGACATTATCAGTTTCATTTGTTTTTTCAAAAACATTTTGACGTATTTTACTCAAAAACAGCTGCAAGCTGACAGAAAATAAGACAACACAGTAGAAAGTCTTTTTTTTTAATATGAAAAGGCGCAAATAACGAATAATGATCACAAGAAAATACAATTGTGTGTTTAAAATAA